AGAGCATCGCGGCTGTCTCAGGAGAATGTGTCTTCAAGAGCTTCAGGGACTCATTCAAGGCCTGTAGGGAAAGAACATGCCAAGAACTGGCACTTGAAGCTGGACCAGGAAAGAACTGTAAAACTGAAATACCGTATTTTTCAGAGTATGACACATCTTTTTCCCCTCAAAAAAGACGCTGAAAGTCTGGCTGTGTCTTATACACTGAATACAGGATTTTTGGCCTCCCGAAACCCCACCCCTTTCACCAAAATGGCCGTGCAGAGCCTTTAGGAGGCTTCTAGAGTGCTCCTGGGACTTGGGGAGGGTAGAAATGAGTGAAAAACAGGCCATTTGTTGCTCAATTTTGCCCCCCCCCGGCCCGCTGAGCACTCTATAAACCTATGCATGCCCTTCTTTTGACAAAAAATAAGCCATTTTTTGCTTGTTTTTGGCCCCACCCCCACAGGAACACTCTACAAGCCTCCTAAAGGCTATTCATGCCCCTTTTTTGTAAAAAAAATGGACCCGTTTTTGGGAGGTCTGCAGAGTGCAAAAACTTTTTTTTTTTTTAAATTGCCTCTTCAAAACCTCGGTGCGTCTTATACTCCAAAAAATACGGTAACCCCCCCATCATTTCATGCCAAGAAGGGGTGTGTGTGCAACCACTTCTTGTCCTTGGGAACCAAATGTGCAATCTTCTCGGTGTTTTGTTGTTGTTCAGCTGGTAACTCAGGTCCAACTTTTTGAAACCCCTATTTCCACGAAAATAAGATCTCCCCAGATAATAAGCCCAATCGGACTTTTGAGCGAATGAGCTAAATATAACCACCACCCCCTCTGAAAATATTGCAACACAGCAGCAGCTCACCGCCTCCTGCACCTCAAAAATAATAAGACCTCTCTGAAAATAAGGCCAAGAAGCGCTTATTTCAGGGGATCAAAAGAAAATAAGACCCTGTCTTATTTTGAGGGAAACACGCTATCTCTCTCTGCCCCTTTCACAATAGCCCTTAAGACTTATATACCGCTTCATAGTGCTTTACAGCCCCATCTAAGCAGTTTACAGAGTCAGCCTATTCCCCCCAACAATCTGGGCTCACATTTGACCGTCCTNGTGAGCCTAAATGGACTCCGGAGGATGGTAGAGCACAGGAAGGTCTGGAGGAATGTGGTCCATGGGGATGCGATAGGTGGGATTCGCAACTAGCAACAACAACATTTCCAGAAGATGCTGGCAGTTAAACTAGAGAACTATGGGGATTCTCGATCATCCAGGGCATGGGTGTCCCAAAGGTGGTTTTTCCAAAGGGCAACTGGGTTTTTCCCTCTTGAAAACGTTTTGCTTCTGGGATGAGGAGAAGCTTCTTAGATGAGAAGCAAAACATTTCCAAAGGGGGGTGGGCGGGAATCAAGGAAGTCCAAAACACCTTTGGAATAGAATCAGACTCACAAAGCACACGTCCAGCCAATAAATAAAAATTTTTCTTCGTTCGCTCTCTCTAGATATATGAAAGGGAGACCTAGAAGGGTCTGCTGAGCAGGTGGGAAATGGATGCGTATCTTACTCTGATCACTAATAACGTGTAAGAAGAGTGAACCTTGGACTCTGTGGATGCAAAGCAGGTGTTCAGCCACTGAGCCACACCTCTTGTGGTGGCATAAATTACAGGGGAATGGTTTCACTGGAGGCCCAGGTTCAGCTCGAACAGGTAGAGGCATAACTGGAACAAGTTTTACCCACCCCAACCTGGGTCCTTTCTAAAAAATGCAATTCTCCTAATTCCAGGGTTTCAACAAATCAGAGTGAGGATATAACCTGTTCTTACCACAAAATAAGGATATAGGTCACCAACCTTTCTGATCAACAAGCTCACAGACTGGAAACGTTTCATACATTCTTCCAAGCCCTGTTTTAATCATAGTTTGCTGCATAAACTACAATGAGCTGGACTTGAATGCCATATCAGTGCTACATTTTGTGTGGTGTCTAAACCTGATCTGTATAATCACATCTGGGCAAATTGCTCCTAAGAAGAGCAAAGGTGGCCCTTCTTTATTTAGGAAATGTATTTATTTTAAAATCTTTGTAAGCACCACTCTCTCCAAAGCTAACATTAAACTCTGAAGATATTCATGCCATTCTCAAGGGGGTAGCTACATATTACTGGAGGGACCCATGCTTTTCAACCTACCTACTCTTTAGGCAAATCTAGACAGCAGACTAAAAACCAGTTGTAATGGATGGCTGTGAAAGTTGGACTATAAGAAAGGCTGAGCTCCAAAGAATGGAGGCCTTTGAACNTGAAAACCTTCTCTTTCTCGATATGCTTGTGGGCTTCAAGTCAAAGATTCCCAGCCAAAATGCAATTAGTACCACTTCCTCATTATGATCTTTGCAAATGCTATTTGCATATCATTAACATTACCGCCATATTGGTAAGTACACATTTTCACGTTCTTTGGACAGAAGGTGAACCTGGGGAAAAAAATTAATAATAACAAGTTTACTACCCCTGTACGACAGCAGCAGCTATCAAAGACTAGAGGGGATCTATTAGATTTAATTGGATGTTTATCCCTCAAGAGGTTGACGAATGGCCAACACCCTTTCTGTTGTATCACCTGCTTAACAGTGTTTGGATTGACAGTGCAGACAAATGTCCATGCCCTGTATACAAGGGCCAAGGAAATAAAGGAAATAAATGTCAATTTTTAAGAGAATTATATCGCCATATTTCAGAGGGGAGTTCGTTTGCCAGAGCGATAAAGCGGAATTGGAGTTCTTTAATGCCTGAATGCAATCAAATTAAATCTGGGAACACTGTTCGCTATGTATGAAATATGCTGCTCGAAAGGTTAACAAAAAAGCATCCAATTCTTTGCTTCAAATGTCAGCCGCGCACACTTCATAGATTCCTTCGCATCTCCTCCTGCAGCCCCATCAATAAACAACGACAGCTGCCACTCCTCTCTGGGGGAGAAGGGTTGATTTGTGAAGCCCATCAGTGCCAAGGTGAGTGAAGTATTTGTGGATATAAGACACTCTGGAAAGAGTGCAGAGAAGAGCAACAAAGAGGATTAGGGGACTGGAGGCTGAAACATATGAAGAACGGTTGCAGGAACTGGGTGTGTCTACTTTAATGGAAAGAAGGACTAGGGGAGACATGATATATGTATATGTATATGTATATATCAACCCACATATCTGTTCTGGCCCCAGAGTGGGGTGGGAATGGGGATTTTGCAGCATCCTTCCCCTGCCATGCCCACCAAGCCACGCCTCCCGAGTACCAGCTGAGTATTTCCTGTATCCTTCCCCTGGAGTAGAGAGGGAATGGGGATTTTGCAGCATCCTTCCCCTGCCATGCCCACCAAGCCACGCCTCCCGAGTACCAGCTGAGTATTTCCTGTATCCTTCCCCTGGAGTAGAGAGGGAATGGGGATTTTGCAGTATCCTTCCCCTGGAGTAGAGAGGGAATGGGGATTTTGCATTATCCTTCCACTGGAATGGGGAGGGAAAGGGAAGTTTGTAGTATCCTTCCCCTGGAGTGGGGAGGGAATGAAGATTTTGCAGTATCCTTCCCCTGGAGTGGGGAGGGAATGAA